TGCCTACCAGGGGACCCTCCCAACCCTTGCCTCAGCAGTGCGGGATAGTGGTCTCTAGGACAGCAGCTGCCCCTCCCCCGGGGCTGACCCCTGCTGACTCCTCTGCGTGGACCCTAGCCCCGTCCAGACTCTGCTGCCTGTGGGGCAGCCCCTCTGGAAATTTCAGTCATGGTGGAGGTGGAGGAGTTATCTTGTCCCTGGAGAGAGGGACTTCCTGTCGAGCTTCTGTGACTACCGTGGGAACCTCCCAACCCTTGCCTCAGCAGTGGGGGATAGTGGTGTCTAGGACGGCAGCTGCCCCTCCCCCGGGGTTGACCCCTGCTGACTCCTCTGCGTGGACCCTTCTGCCTTGAGCAACTGTGTGTTTGCTCCTCACTGACCATTGCTATTCCTGGGGTGGGACACTGGTCTCTTCTCCCGGCTGGGCCTGGCGGCTCCTGGTCATTCCCAGTGACCTCCCCTGGGAGTCAGTACTATTTGGGATATGCAGCTGGTGGCTGGCTGTCCTTTCTCAGAAGCCCAGCCCTTTTTCAAAAGCCCATGGAATTGCCATTTGAGGCACTTGCTGCCTGGCCTACGCATGCACACGTATGTGGCAGCCCCGCGTCTAGGCAGCTGGGGCTTCCCACCCCTCCCGGGTCCTCATCCACAGTGACCTCTGTTCCTGACACACTGTCCTATTTGCTGAGCCTTTCTAAGGGCAACTGGTTCTCAGAATAGTCCTATTTACTGAAAGTGTGGTCCCCGCGTGGGAGAGGAGGGTCAGACCAGGGCTCAGTGAGGAGGGAGGCCTCAGGAACCCTGCCTACCTCCCAGCTGTGGGAGGGGCTTCTCCAGTGGACAGAACTCTTGGAGGGGGAGGACCTCTCAGCTGCCTTGGGCAGGGCCTGGACACTTAGGGTATGCAGGATGGAAGGGGCTCCATGCATGCCTGACCACGCATGCCAGGCTGCAGTCACAGATCCAGCCAGGCCTGCCACAGTGGCAGCAGCGACAGCCTGGGCTCGCTCTGGGTCCCACTCTGATGGAGCTCACGTCATCTTTGGGCCAAGGCCTGGGTTACAGAGGAGATGAGGGGCTGACAATCACCTCCAAGAAGCCTACCAAAAGCCCAGGCCTTGCCTGGCTTTGACTGCCCATTGCAGAAGTGGGTGGGGCTCCGTGAAAGTGAACAGTTCATGAAACCTGGCGGAGGTTGGCTGGCTGAGCTGCCTGGGGTGTGGACCCTCTTGGAGGGGGTGACCTCCTATCTGTCACCTCTTGAGGCCCTAGATGAAACCCTGTATGACAACGAGGCTGGGTGCTTGTATCCCCTCACCCATGACAGAGTTTCTGTCCTTGAGCTTGTTCCCAGAGGCAAGCTCAGAACTGGAGGCTGCCAAGGAGGCCAGTGTGAGCACCAGGGATGTCAGGTGCAAGGAGCTGATCTTTCCTGGGGTTTCCTTGGAAGGGCTGTGACTTACGGCATGCTGCCCCAGGAGCTTGGCAGGACTCCTGCAGTGTATGTGCACACATGTATGCATTTCCATGTGTGTCACATGTTTGTATATGTGTGCACCTTTGCACGCCCATGTGTGCATGTACTTGGGTGTGGGTATGGACAACCAGGACCATGGCCCTCACCCTCACCCCTCCATGCCCACAGGTTCTTTGAGGACCTGGAACAGCGGCACAAAGCACAGCTGTGTGTGGAGGACATCAGCGACATCCTGGAGGAGCACGCCGAGAAGCACTTCCACCCCTATATCGCCTACTGCTCCAACGAGGTCTACCAGCAGCGCACCCTGCAGAAGCTGACGTGAGTGGGCACCGCACCCCGGGATCCCAGCAGCCTGGGCTCAGGAGAATCCGGCATCTTGGTCTTCCAAAGTGTGTGCATGCTCAAAGCCTAGCTTCTTTAGGTCTTGCCTGTTTTCTGTGTGGGCCCAGTCATGCAGAAGAGGGACAACTCTGTCTTCTGTCACAGAAGCAGCAACACCAACTTCCGCGACACCCTGAGGGAGATCGAGAAGCGGCCTGCGTGCGGGGGCCTGCCCATGATTTCTTTCCTGATCCTCCCCATGCAGAGGGTGACTCGGCTGCCCCTCCTTACCGACGTGAGTGCGTGTCTGGGTGCTGGTGGGGATGAAGGGAGGGATCCTTCAACACTCAGGTCCCTGGGGCATGTAGAAACGAGCTGCCGGGGGCAGGGAGGAGCAGAGAGCTGAGGGGGGTCCCAGCACACCTCCACTTCTGCTCTACCTGGCCAAACCTGGTGGAGCCTCAGGTGGTACAGACCATTCGGGGGGCTGTGTGCACCAGTGAAGCTGCAGAAGCCCTCTGGAGCCCTGCAGCCCCCACCCAGGGTCTGGTAGCGATAGGGAGCCCCCGCCCCATGCAGGCTTCTATGACTGGGATGCAGGAGGGGGCTTGGTGCCTCACATTTAGTGTCCTCCCCAGACGCTGTGCCTCAAGACCCAGGGCCACCCCGAGAAGTATAAGGCTGCCAGCCGTGCACTGAAGGCTATCAGCAAGGTGAGGCAGGGCCCAGGGCAGGGGAGGAGGTACCCAGCCCTGCCCTATTTCTGCACCCACCCCCACCCCACCCGGTGACATGGACGCTGGGCAGGAAGGGGTCTTGGATTATCCATCCTAAGTGCTTCATATTGACGGAGAAACTGAGGCCTGGAGCTAGTGGAGCTCTTACACAGGCGATGAGCAAATGGCCTGACTGGAACTAACGCCTGTGCAGTACCTGCCAGGAGGGCAGGTACATGGGCAGCCAGGGCCATGGGCAGCCGGGCAAGTGGGCCGGGCATGCTTGGCAGGTTGTGCCAGGCTCTCAGCCCCTGGCCTGCTCACATGCGTGCCCACCTCCCGCAGCTGGTGAAGCAGTGCAACGAGGGGGCCCACAAGATGGAGCGCACGGAGCAGATGTACACGCTGCACACGCAGCTGGACTTCAGCAAGGTCAAGGTAGGCGCCCTGGTGGCTCAGGTCACTCTCAGACCACACCTGCTTCACTCCGGCTGAGGTCAGCAGGTCTGAGGACTGGAGAATGGCCTCGGTCGGTCCCCACGTTGGTGAGTCCTAAGGGCTGGACTTTTGGTCTCTCTAGGCCTCAGTTTCCCCCTCTGGGAACATCCCTGTGTACCCCTTCCTTCATGTAGTTTCACAGGCAGCTGGCAGGTCTTTCTGGCCTATGCCCCCACCCCCAGGACCGCAGAGGCAGAGCGTAGGCCCCAGGTTCCAAATGCCATCCTGAGCAGGCAGCAGGCTCACCTTGGGCCAGCATCTTTGCTGGCCTGTTGGGGGCTGGGCAGGGCCTTGCTGAGAGTGAGGATGACCCCAGGGCCAACTCAGGGCTCCGGGCTCCCAGTGAGGCCAGGATTCTGGGGAAGGGGCAAAATATTTTCAGCCAAAGTCTGGGCAACCCTAGACCACACCAAAGCAGATCAGGCTCAGACCTCTGGACTAGAGACCCCAACACACAGACTGGCCCTGTCCCTGTGTTGTCCAGGGGCAGCCCCAGCAGCCTACCCCCAAAGGTGGACCCATTTGGGCCTCTTTTCCTGGTGCCCCTTCAGGTGCCCTGGTTTGGGTGTTAAGTTATAGGTGGCCCTAGGTCAGGTCCATGGAGCCAGCCAAGTAAAGGGTTCAGAGGCCCAGCAAAGGGATGAAGCTCCTTGGAGGCAAGTCAGGGTGGGCTTCATGGAGGAAGCATTAGGGTGATGGTGCCAGGTAGCACCCCTAGTCAGAGTAAGGACCAGATCCCAGCTCTGACTGACCCCTGAGTGGGAATCACCTCCACACGGCCTTGAAGCCAGTCTTAAAGATGGTTAGAGAGGCAGGAGCGCAGACTGAGTAGAGAGCCATGAGGCAAAGGCCCAGAGGTGGGAGATGCCAGGGCCCTGAATCTGGCTGAGGAGCAGGGGCTAGTGGCAGGTCCCCTTGTTCCTGCTCTGCCCACGCCCTGCTTTTGTGTTCTCTCTGTCCCCACCTATCTCCAGCTGACTTATCACCAGGCTTGGGAGGGTGCGAGGTCTCTGTGCATCAGAGGTCAGGAAAGGCCCCTGGATGCTAGAGTGTGGCCGTAGTGAGCAGGCTACCCCTGTCCTGGCACTGGGCCCCCGACCAGGCGTTGGCCCTCAGGAGGGGCAGAGCCTGTGTGTGTGAATGCCATCAAGTCCCACTCCTGCTTAGGGGCGAGGTAGGCCCAGGACTGGCCTTTGCTTCCTGCTCGGCTGGAACATTTAGCAGCTGCCCAGCAAGCCTGTGTGCCTCACTGGAGGCCGGGTATGGCCATCCTGGCTGCCTGGAAGGATCCAGGCCCAGGCCCAGGCCTAGGCCCAAGCCTTGGCCCAGCACCTGTCAGCCACAGAATAGCCCTTTATTTAAGGCTCAGAGACATTATGTTACTACCCCTCTCTCCTGCCCTGACCAGGGACAGCCAGCTGGTCACCCAGTCATCAGAGGCAGGGATCAGTGTCCATCCAACACTGCCATCCTTGCCCCACCCAACCCCAGGGCCTCACTCATCTCTCTTCCCCAGTCCCTCCCGCTGATCTCTGCCTCCCGCTGGCTGCTGAAGCGAGGGGAGCTCTTCTTGGTGGAGGAGGCCGGGCTTTTTAGAAAAATCGCCAGCCGGCCAACATGCTACCTGTTCCTATTCAATGACTTCCTGGTTGTGACCAAGAAGAAGAGGTAGGTTCTTCTCCATGAACACTGGGCTGCTGGTCTGGGGCTGGGGGCTAGGCAGGGCATGAGGGGAGGCCCCTGACCTCAGAGTCAGGGCTGCACAGCCAGCATCAGGCACCACACCCTCCACATTCTGGGGCGACCTGGTGGCTCTCAGCAGAGGGCCCTGGCTCTTCCCAGTCCTGGATCTGCCAGCTCGGGCACGAGCAGGACCCAAGAGCTTGTGATCCCTATTCCCAGACTCCAGAGCAGCTCTCGGGGGCACCTGTGTGGCTGCCTAGCCCCCAGCCACTGCAGGGAGCTGTGGGTGGGAGCTGAGCTGTAACGTCCCATCGCCTGCCTGTATTCCCACAGCGAGGACAGCTACATGGTCCAGGATTATGCTCAAATAGACCAAGTCCAGGTCAAGAAGATGGAACCTTCAGAGCTCCCTCTGCCAGGGGGTGGCAACCGCAGTTCCTCTATTCCCCACCCCTTCCAAGTGACCCTGCTGCGCAATAGCGAGGGCCGTCAGGAGCAGATCCTGCTCTCCTCGGACTCTGCGTAAGGAGTGGCGGGGGGAGGGGTGGTTCCTCAAGGCCCATGCACATGCAGTCTGGGAGGGCCGATTCATGTATTTCACCTCACTTGTTGGGCAAATATTTCTGAGCACCTACTATGTGCTTGGTGTGCTGTAGGTTCAAGGGTACACCCGGTAACAAAACAGAGATAGCTTTGTCCTGTGAAGTTTGCATTCTGGGGTGGGGTGAGAGTGGAACACATACCAACAGGTGCAGGGGAGGAGGTGCTGATGGGGGCTGGTCAGGAAACCCCATCCACAAGGTGACTCACTCAAAGTCAGGGAGGCAGTGAGCAGGGGGTTGGCGAGGGAGGAATGCCCAGCAGAGGCGCAGCCGTGCAAAGGCTCTGAGGCAGAAGCACCCTGTGACTGCCAGGGTACTGGAAGACAGTGAGCTGGTGCGGGAGGAGCAGGTCAGAATGATAGTGTGGGCCCTATGCACTGTGGGTGCCGGCACTAAGTGGGGCTCAGTGGACGCACGTGACTCTTTCTGGCCCTCAGGAGTGACCGGGCCCGGTGGATCACAGCGCTCACATATAGGGAGAGGCAGGAGCAGGACCCCACCAACAAAGGAGGTGAGTGGGGACAGGGATGGGGGTCTATGGGGCTGGTAGCCTCTTTCTTGGCCCCTGGGGCAGGGCTTTGATCTGGGGAGAGATCTTCCAGCCCTCTGTCCACACCACAGCCTGTCCAGGGTGACATGCACAGAGGGGGCAGCCTGGTGTGACAGACCCCAGCCCCACGAACATTGTGTCACCACCTGTGCACACAGACCCAGCTCTGTCTTGGTGCCAGCCCTCCCTGTGGTGAGAACAATGCCTATGCCCTGAGCTGGGAGAAACTGAAGCACAGGGCCAGCACGGGCTGGTGCTTAGACCTGTCATCCCCAGTGCTAGCTCTGCCATGTCCCCCCTGGCGGGAGCACCCTGTGCCTAAGCTAGGTGTTTTGGCTCCGCAAGCAGGGACACCTGTCCTGCAGCCTCTGGAGCACCCGTCCTGTAGCCCAAGGGGAGTTATCACCTGGTCATATGCTGGGACACCTGAGTCCTTCTGGAGTCCACGAGACCCCTGCTCCAGGGGCTGTCTGCTGAGAGTCACTGGGAGGTGCGGCTCTGCCCTCCTCAGGGCTGCAAACAGCTCCTGGACCCTGTCCTGGACAGCCTGTGGCTCACGCCTGCTCTCCCACCAGCCCTGCCCCAGGTGGAGATCATCAAGGCCTACTTCGCCAAGCAGGCGGACGAGCTCACGCTGCAGCAGGCGGACGTGGTCCTGATCCGACAGCAGGAGGATGGTGAGCTGGGGGCTGTGGGGGGTAGTGAATGAGAGTTGGTGGCCCTGGCAAGGCCCAAGGACTCTTCAGAGGGAGGACACTGTGTCCAAGTCACAGAATCAAAAGTGGATTCTTAGGACCAGCAGTGGGCATGGTGGTTAAGGTGCTGGATTCCCACATGGTCAACTGGTTGGAGTCCTGGACCTGGCAGCTTGAAAATCATGCCAGGCACATGTGCATGGTGCCCAAAATCTCAAGAGGAGAATGCAGGAGAGCGGATTGTGGTGTGGCCATCCCTGCTGGGGGCTGATTTCTCACTTTTCTCTCTCCCTGTCTCTCTTCAGCAAGCACCTGTGTTGTATGGCAAAAGCCTAAAAAACAAACATCAACAACAAAAAATCTCAAACAAATAAAAAAGTGGGTTCTTTGTCATTGTGTCCCTAGCAGGGAGGAGGGGCTATCTGCTCTCCCAGGGGTCCCCGCTCAGCTGGAATGGGCAGATTGCTTCCTTATCCTGGGGCAGGCTGGGTGGGGTGAACTCAGCTGCCAATACCCTTCTCAGGCCCCTAGGGAGAGAAAGATGCCCTGTGACTATGAGCAAGGCCTCTCTGGCCCTTCTCGCTCCTGAAGCAGGAGGGGTGGTGCTCAGTTCAGAGACCTCTGATGTCGTAAGAACAGCAGGTCAGCAGGGACTGGGGCCCCTCTGGGTTCTCACAAGCCTGCCTCTCATCTCCTCCCTTCCATCTGGGCTCAGGGTGGTTCCATGGCGAGAGGCTGCGAGATGGAGAGGCAGGCTGGTTCCCCGGGGCCTTTGCCCGCTGCATCACCAGCCGGGTGGCC